TTTTCTTCTTTTTGTTGGTTTTGGTTTTTTAAGTAAAGATTTCTCATCAAATTCGCGTCACTCATCATTTTTGCTACTTTTTGACTGTCAATAATCCCTCTTAACGTATTTATAAACTGCATTTTGCACAGAAATTATTCACGCTCAAGTACACTTATCAAAGAATAGTAGCAGACAAAGCAATTTTTTTACATTAAAAATTAATATATAGCAATAATCAATAATAATCAATAGTCATAATAATAATAATCAGTTATTGAACTACTTTGTACTCAAATGTGGTGCACTCAAAAGCAATATTTTATGTTAAATATTAATATTGTCAATTGACAACTGAAAGGAAAGTTCACTTAATGATGAAATGATGTACTTTTATAATTTTCTGAATTTAGTTGAAACATATTCAGTCGCATATGTAGAATGTATTAAGAAGGAATTAGTACTGGAAGCAAAAATATTTCATGAAAACTCAATTTCATGACAACTCACATGCGATTTATTTGCAAATGTAATATAGGAATATAGGATGCATATCATATCAATATATACGAATATCACTGGCATTAATATACGCATGAGTTAATGCATATATACTTTTTTTTAGTAGCATTTGCCGCTTGTCATCTTGAGTAATTTTATGGCAATATATCATTTTAAATTTTTCATAAGGATGTCTATGCGAATTGCGAGTATTTTATTTTAAATAACTACCATCAATTATCTGTAGTACAAAATTATATCAGCTATTAACAGAACAACTCAATCCGAGACACTTTCAAATATGATGACAATTTAGACGATAAAGCAGTAGCTTGCAACTGTGTGTAAATGCTGTACCCACAACAAAATACTTCCAGTGTCTATGGATCACTTTATGCTCCAGTAGCTATTTGGCGAATTAAAAAAATATATATGCAAAAATAAAGTGAGACCGAAATGGAGAATATTAGGAAAAAATAAAAAAATATATATTAAAAAAAATGAAGCAATGTAAATGTAAAATTGCCGGTTGAGCTTATGATGTTATGCCTGACGTTGTTTAAAAGCTTTTCGCGCTTACAAGAGGCAATGTAATTGCTTATAAAATATGCAAAACGCCTTTCTTGCCTATTACCAACAACCAACAACCAAGAACCAACAACGCGCTCACCAAACCCTTATGCCAGGCCGGGCAGGGCAGGGCATGGCAGGGCAAGTAGTGTTGGCAGCAGGAATTGCGGAAACACCAGAACAATCAGTCATCAGCATTACCACAACGAAGAGTGGCGCAGCACACATTGCTGTTTTGCTGTCGTTTAGTTGATTTTATTTTGTAGAAATGTTTTCTTCTGTTTTTTGCTTTCTTTTCACTTTCTTCTTTTACTTTGTTTTCATTTCTTTGATTATTGGCATTTGTGTTTGTCACACCCTTTTCACACACACTTTACCAAGTGGAAAATATCTTCAAAGATTGCGGCTTTTGTGGTGCACTGGTCGTATATTAAATATTTTAAAACGTAATGTGTGCTGGATTGATGATGTATGAGTGCTAAGTACTTACCGACTTCGACTGCTTGCATGCCGGCTTCCTTGGTGTGAGTACGTGTCGGTAATGAATGTTCTACCCTAGTATTTAATGCTAAATTAGAGTTTCTTACAAGGCACAAACAACAACAAATAAGTCAAAAGCCATAAGACATAAGCCATAAGCTATAAGCTATAAGCCATAAAGTAAACGATTTATAAACATTATAAATAACAGACTAAACGAATGGAAAACTGATATGAGGAAATTCTTGCATGTTACACTAACACGACACCAAATATCAAATTTTTTTAATATCTATTTTCTATAAAAAAAATATATATTTATTTTCATGACATGACACTTGTAGATTTACAATATTATACAAGGTTCATGTTTAGTGTCGTACTACGCAATGGGCAAAGCGACCACTATTTACGATCACTAGCTAGCTATTCACGAGGCTCTAGGCCGCCTCAATTCTGTTTAATCTGCTTTCCTCAGCAACGTTTTTCGAAATGATATATCCCGATATCTTATACACATGTTGTGAGCATTACAAACCGTTAGTAATGTTAGGTGCCAACTGACATTTCCATTGAAAGATTTAACATTCAAGCATTATTCAATACTCTTCATTATTTGAGTACGGTTTGCGTTATTTACTCTACTATAACTGTATGAGACAGAATCTCATACAAAAAATTTTCACCATTCTTGAGGTGGTTATCCAAGACGAGACTACAAGGATTAATTTGCTTCTATTTTTGGAAATGGCGTTTTATTCTTTGCAACAGCAAAACGTTAGCTGTAAGGTATTTGATTACACTTAACTTGTATTTAACTGGCACTACCATTGTCAATGTTTTCTCCAGGTTGAATCACAACCTGCGCGTCAACCCGTCTGAAAAGCTGAATTGTCTATGCGTATTGAACTAATATGAACAGCGAAACTTTCCTCATAGATATATGAGGTTATGCATCGTGCGTGGAACCTATCCTATATAAAACCACGTCTGTAATTATCATCTCAATAAGTAACAGAGTAACATCGTAAAAGATATGTTTTCGTTAATTTAATATTCTGAAACAAAATCTTCAAACGATGCATTCCTGATGGGAATATGAAAGCATATCCATATGTATCGACAATATTCTATTTATTTAATTTTATAAACACCAAAACCACAATGTCTATGTTATATAACGCATAGATAATAAAGTGCTGGGTGCACTATACTAGTAGATTTTACTCCATAATTCTAAAAGTTTTGCGTTTTGAGAAGATGTTTTGTTGTTTTGGTCATGAACGCATTGCACTTTCCTAATGTATGCTCTGGGAACTAAAATTCCTATTCCCAAAATCTTAACACAAGGTTTGATACAATGCCTATAATACTGCATTGTACGTGCAGTTTACATTAGACAATAAATAACCAAGTTAACATACGTAATCTATTCCTGAATTAACTAATACAGAATTTAAATTTTATTTGTTATTATAGGTAACTCACAACAGGTAACTCCATTGTCGCAAACTTATGCAGTTTGCAAAGAGTGACTAACTCTTTTGTCCTTCTTGATCTTTGAACGCTTTCACTCATACTACTCTGCTTCTACTGCAATAAATTTCCGGTTGTATTATTACTATAGAAGTTGATTTCTTAGAGAGTTAATCGGATTGCTAACTTCTGTAGATGCATGCACATTCAGGAACGCAATAGAATCTGACTTTGTCACCCCTGCCTAGATGACTTCTGAAAACAATCCCATACTAACTTGAAGTCAACTTCTTAGAAACTTAATGCTCAAATGGCAGCTTACAGTCCTATAGTGAGATTGTGACAAGGAAGAAGATGTCGTAATGAAAATAATTAAAAGCTTTTGGCAAGAGGTTGTTGGTGTTATATCGAATATATATGTTAGTTGTATAGTTCATTAAATTAATTATAATAAAAATTAGCTGCAGTTTTTTATATATTTATTGTTATTATATAGAGAGCTTTTATAATATACTTACGGTACTGAGAAAATTACGCTTCAATTATTTCTTTTTTCATAGTTGTTTTTTAAAGTCGACAAGTGTCGCCAACGTTACTCACAATATAACAGAATTGTTTTATCTTTATTATCCTTAAATGGTATTATCAATTATTACGAATAATGTTTTCCCACGGGTTCTGCATATTTGATCCGTAACAAAAGTACTTTTGACTGAAGGTGGTACAGTACAAAATAGTTTAAAAACTATTGTTGTTAAAGGAACAGAATCACATCATATATAACATTTCCGTGTAATGGTCATTGATTGGACATTTTTGTTTTTCATAGTTTGATCACTACATGATACTCAACTCATTTCTTTGCTATATAAATACACTAATAGATTTAGTTCAAGTATCTTGTAAATAAAGAGTGAATTGATCCTTCGATGATATATTAAAATGGTGTCAAAGTGTTAGTTTTTTTAATGAGGAATAAATGACGGTTCAAAAATTGCTGAACAACTTAGTGTACGTACTAGAATGTGTGCTAAATACTTCTAGTATTTTACTGTTTATAATTGGATTCAAACCAATAAAGTAAATTTGGAATAAAATAAAATTTAAAAAATTACCTTCAAAATATTAAAAAAAAAACTAACATCAAACCACATACAAAGTAGGAGTAATAATAAATTTAATGACGAGCTTTGAAAAAAGGCGTTAATTTAAAGATAAAATGACATTTTATGTAATTATTTTCGGAAACCATTAACTGGAACATAATACCAGGCACATATGAGTAATTGTTTTCCGTAATATCAGATAACCGTTTACTAATGATTAGCAGCCCTTATGCCATTATACGGAGCGATGTGCAATACACAGTAATAGCTGTGGCTAATATGCAGTGAGGGAAGGTCTGAAGCTGTTAGCCAAATATGCTATATAACATAATTAGTTCCATTATACAAGAGTGTACTAGTTGCAGGCAACAATTCAGTAGCTTATTTTGTTAATTTATACATTAACAAGCGTAAAGCTTGTAACGTCCTTTTTAGATTTCCCAAAAGACATTGACAGCTCTAAACGTATGCGCTAATATAGTTAATAATATTAGCAGCAAACTTCGTTGCAATACTGCTAAAAGCGCTGTAATATAAGCATTTTTTCGCTGATGTCATTAGAGTGGCTTGTCAAATACTTTTACACTAGAAAAAAAATGGCAAAAAGCAAAATCAAAACAGCACGAAATTTAACTAAAATAAAGTTTTTCAACAGAAAAAATCAAAACACACAATACAACATAATAGGACTACAAGGATAAAAAGGAAAAAAAAAATGACAGAAGAGTGGCTAATTCGTCAAATGGCTAACGCAAGGCAAGCTCTAAGTACAAAAGGATTCCTCATGTGTACCACTTCGTGTTGTTTTTTTTATCCCCAAAGATTAATGTTTCGTTCGACTGTTTTTATTGCCCATTGTTTAAAGAACTTAAATAGTGTTTAACTAACCTTGAAATCTGCTCCTTTTGGTATGATTGGGATGATTTTCGGTTTTTGGCTCTGAGCTGTTACTTTTGCTTATTGCTTCAATTTTTAGCCCGACTGTTCGTTAAACGTTAAAAAATAGATTTGAAATCGCTTTAGTGATAATAGAATGCAATCTGTAATAGAAAAAAAGTTTTTTAGTTAAATTATATAAATCTTTCACTTATTTAAGTGCATGAAATTGATTTAAGGTTTATAAAATGTTTATTGGTAATTATTAAAAATGATCCATCTGAATCAGTAAAATCAAGTTAAGGTGGTATAAAGCCTTTTCGCTTTAGTCTTTATATTGTGGTATCAGAAAGCAGCTGTTGCGCCATTGGATTACTATGATGGTGTAGTTTCACTTTATATTTTTGGCCGCATGTTCTAATGACGTCTGCAACTGTTGGGATTCCGAGATCGTTGTGGATATGTACATTTTTGAGAAACCAAGGAGCGTCGATTATTTGTCTAAGTAATTTATTTTGAACTCTCTGTATTTTTTCGATTTTAGAAACACATGCTGTACATCAGAACTTTATGCCATAGGAAAATAGCAGAGAGGTTTTAAGATTGTATTGTATACCAGGACTTTATTTTCCAGTCTTAGCTTAGAGTTTTTATCAAAAAACCAATGAAGCTGCTGTGATTTCAATTGTATTTGATATTTTTTGGTTTCAATGTGCTTAGTCCAAATCAGCTTTCTGTCAAGATGAATGCCAAGAAATTTCACATCATGTGACTGGGGAATAATAATGTTATTCAACTTAACAGAGGGGCACGTTTCTTTGACATATATAAGTCATTTCATTTTATTACAAATTTCAAATTCTTTTTTTTTGCATCTGCTAATTGCATTACATTTAGTTTTTAAGATTTGACACATAATCGCCAATTTCTAATCCGAAAGATACAATTAAAAATAAAATAAAATAAAAAAAAAATTTAATTAGTAATATATACTAATCGAGCATAGCGATGTTGCACTGTTCCAATTTAAACAATTGGATTAAACATTTTCAATGCTCCAATATTTTGAAACAAGACAATGCCGTGATGGAAAATTACAAATTTGCTTGCTTTACCGATTATACATTTTTTTGAACAAATTAATTAATTGTTCTATCTACAGCTCTACCATAATCTTCTTCTTCTAGGTGCCTTGTCCGCTTCGAACGTTGGCTAACATGATTGCTATTTTGATTTTATCTACAGCTTTTCGAAAAAGTGATCTTGTACTTTTATTAAACCATTGACGTAAATTCTTTACCCATGATATCTTTCTTCTCCCAGGGCCACGTCTACCTTCAATTCTGCCTTCAATGATTAATTTTAGTAGTCCATACTTTTGCGGATGCCTCAGAATATGACCAAAAAACTGCAACTTTCGGCGTTTTACTGTCTCTAAAATTTCTGTCTCTTAGTTGACACGCCGAAGTACCACTGTATTTGTAATTTTTTCTGTCCAGCTTATTTTGAGCATACGTCGGTAGCACCACATTTCAAAAGCCTCGAGTTTATTCATCGATGCAACAGACAGCGTCCAGGCCTCTGTCCCGTAGAGGAGTATAGAGAATATATAGCACCGCAGCATTCTTATTCTAAGCGGTAATAATACTCTACCATAATCTACAACTCTACCATAATACGAAACAGCTCTATTTATCAGCCAAAAATTAATTAAAATAAAATTAAATTAATTTTTGTTGTTGTAGTTCACTACTGCTCGAAAAACTTTTTTAGGAAATATATTTTTTGTTTTTAATAAAATAAAATTTTATATACGTTTCATTTTACCTTGCTATTTAAAAAATTTAGTTGTCTTAATGAAATTCCTTTTTTAATAAATAAGAAATTAAAGTTTTAAATTTTTATACATTGTCTTTTCTAATACCTTTTTACAATGTTTTTTTTAAAAAACTTCTTTTCTTTTAAAAAAGCTTTTTTAAAAAATTTCTTTTTTACTAAAAAAGACTCTCATCCATTTATGTTTGACATGTTTGCTCACAAAATTGTTACACCAAAATGAATCCTGAAATTATTTGCGAAAACTGACGGACTTACCAACACCGCGTTATCTAATCTCAGAATAGTTACAGGCTCGTCGGGGATATGTGCAGATCTGAGGTCAATTATTGCTTAGTCTGATGAAGTGATGGATAATAATGCAGTCAAGGCGTAAAGAGGGGTTTTGAATATACCTCGAGTTAATAAGGAGTAAAAGTGCTCAAGTGCACTGGCTCAAATAGCTTCAGCGTAACAATGAGTCCAAATTTGAAACTTAAAAAGTGAATATCAATTAAGTATTTGCAAAATTTTTTATAGTACTTTTTCGTTTAAAAATAAGACGCATTTTAATATGTATAGAGTGAAAAGTTCATCGGCTTGTTCTCTCATTGCAGTTGTAATTGGATACTGTCTCCGTTTATCTTAAAAACGCTGCGACTGCAATCATAGTTGCACAGTTTTTGCATATCGTTGATATATTATTATTTGTATCCGATATAGAGATAATACTTGTTTAGTTTTGGACAAAATTTTGGACAACCCCAATGATATGAAGACTGATCCGAAATATCACACAAACCTCAATTCACGTTGACAGGCACAAAAAAAAAAAACAATATAAATTATATTAATTTATTTTTATTGTGTAAAACTAATTTTGAAACCATCACGCAGAGATTTTCGACCACAAAATATTTTCACACCTCAACACAGACCACAAACCTCATTTTGACATCTTTTGTGTGTTCATGAGCATAAATTTTTACTAAACGCGTTGATAGACAAGTTGACATATATGACAGCTATTTTGCTTAGGGCAACAACAACATGTGATTAACTTACAAAGTTTAAACTTTAATAATGAATTCCTTCAACACATGCAGCAGGCAGTCATAAAGCAAACACAGGGATAACAATAATTTATTCTGATACACATAAATACGTGTAAACTGCGCATAAATTAGGTGTTTCGTACGTCCTTCGAACTCAGTGGAAATTTATTGGCTCATAATTGCTAACAAGCTTTTCTTTGTTCTTATTGAATTCTTTACTTATGTTTTTTCTATCCTCCATTGTATTATTGTCTTTATTGTTTTTATTGTTTATTAAGTAACAACATTATTGACATTACTAATAATACAACAAATTAATTGCTTTTCAATAAAGGAGACGTTGTGCGCAATGGAGAATGAGTATCTGAGAGGCATCAAGTAACATGTCAAATATTAGTTTGCATGTCTGCAATTCCGTTCGAATGTTAATGGTTGACTTACAGTCGGTCTTTTGGCTTTGAGGAAATATTTTCACTATATAAGGGTTAATTGAAATTATAGGATTCCTTTCTAATATCACTAATATGTAATAAATGTATAGATATGCCATCAGGTCTATCACATTTATAACATATACATATAACTTATAACAAGTAAGCTACAACATATAATATATGCGATTGCAATATGGGATATTCTCAAATGGGGCTACAAAACCAAGTAAATACATTTTCTTTTGATTTGAAACATATTTATAAGATAGATGTTCGTTCGTATTTATATATATGAAATTTGATATTTGTAATTTTTAATCTTTAAATTTATTATCTGTTTAAGTCACAACTAATCAGCGCTTTAATATTGCAATCATACATTTCATATTTATATAAGAAAATTATTTAATGAAAGAACTTTGGTTAGCAAAACAAATCCCGTTAAGTATTAAAAATCGTATCGAATTAATGTATACTCTCTAAAATTACCCTACAAAATTAATGTTATTGAAGTTTAATCGATTTTATAATGATGAAAAAAACATAAACCCTGTTTCCGCATATCATTTTGAAGTAGGACTTAAAAAGTAAAACTTAATCTATTGCAAATTCCATATCATTTATCTGATTACACATTTTTTTATTGGATTATAAATTTTTTTTAGTTATTTTTTTTTTTTCAATTAAAATTAAAATAACAAATACAGCTATTTAGAAAATTTTTGAAATTTCCAATTATTATTCAAAAAACGTTTATAGATCGATAGAATAGTCTGACGACACTGGTCGCTTAATTAATTAAAAGTAGAGTTTATGACTACAAAAACAACTCACTTCTTTGTTGGCACTTTAATAAATTCTAGTTAAAATAAATTAAAATAAAAGCAAAATATTATATATTATTATACTTACTTTGTTTTAAGTAAGGGTTAATTCGCTAAGTAAAGCCCCACTGTATATTAAAAGTTCACCTCTTTTCTATACTTCTAGATTAGCTATTCCCTGATAGTCATTTTAAAAAATTATTGAATTGAACTTTTATTACACAAACAATTGTGTTCTATTTGATCAATTACCTCTATAACAATATTTTTTTTGAACTTGATATTTACTTGCATGCAGACTACCACATGATATGCACACGCAGTACAACAGAAATAACCCAATAGAAAACGGAACGATCAGTCATCGAAGACGGTTAAAAGACATGGATACATGCCTGAACACCACTCGATCCAAATGTATAACGGTCTTCGAAGACTTTCTAAAACACATTAGATAAATGTCTTCAAAGACTGGTTGCATCCATGTCCTGCATAGCAGACGCATACGATTAAACGTTCTTAACGTAGCTACTCATTTAATTATTTTTTTGTTTTTTATATTTTATGTACATATTTTATACATTATATTTAAATAAATATAAATTTATTTATTAAAATAAATTTGAATTAAATTGAATTAAAAAATGTGAATGGAATACAAAATTTTACAAAGTGCTTATTCACTTAACTCTTAATTAGCACTGATAATAATAAAGACATAGCGACATGGGTTGCTGTGAACACTACAAATGATAGATTAAACAAAAGAGAGACTTTTCACATTGATATTTTGAGCAACTATTTTACAAATTTGTTTAAACATGTGGACGCAGTATCAAAGACCGTCTTCAAGACAAAACTTGGTCTTCGAAGACCACTTTTTCAACTGAAAACAACTGAAAAAACAGCAACTACAAGTTGCTAATTTATTAGACTTATAGTGTCTAATAGATCAAGGCAGACTATGTGCTATAGCAACAATATAAGGAATCATAACACCAAACAACACAAAATATTAGCAAATGAGAAAGA